CCAAATTAGGACACTTTATTACATAAACAGTTGTGTAATTTCCTGCAGTGCTCACAGTTTTGGCCCACCATGTGAAAAGCTGATTTCTGTTTCCTTATTTCCTGACTAATTGTCCCACAAAGTGACGCACCGATCAGTGGCTCTGCTGAGCACCAATCACCTCCTTTGCTGTTGCTGTCCGTAGAAAACCAGTGGAAACGTCAAGTTCTGTAATTGCGCTCAATAATTGACGAAAAAGCAGATTTACTGGGACTTTTCCCAGTCAGTAAATATTAAAGCGCCCCCTTGTGTTGGGGAATTGTGTCCAATTCTCAGCTTGTGTAATGGGAGCGTGACCCGTTTTCTGTGGATGTGACCCGTGTCCAATAAGCAGTGAGCCAAGCTAAACTATCTCACCTGTTTCCTGGTTCTGTTTGTCTGAGTCCAGTCAGTGGTCCCGCCTCACAGCAAAGCTTCCTGCAGGCCTTTACATGCTAATAAACTTCTATTTACTGGAATCCAAGGAATGTATTTGAGCCACTCTATCAAATGCAGTTTGTAAAGCTATGCAATAATAATATTTTTTAATTTTTTTAGCCTCGCTCATTTTTCATCTTCTCATTCAAACTTTTATAAACGTTTAACTATCAAATGAAATGAGGGGGATAAGCATTTTGTTTGTAAAATAAATATTTAATGTGGAATAAAATAAAAGTAAAGTGTGGGAAGGTTTTGCACATGGTTTGGTTGATCCGCTCCACGCCTCGTCCTCTGCAGGCTTCAAAGCTCCATCAGGCAGCAGACTGGAAAACATTCCCGCTCGCTCCCTGAACAAAGTCGATTCTTTCCAAATGGTGACGTCAACAAACGAAGGGCTTAAAGCCCAGAATAGTTTATTGTCTTGGGAAGGTCATGAACAATAAGCGATAAAAAAAGTGTGTGTGTTCTTTTTAACGACCACTGAGCAGCTGCATGGGAGGTTTGTGCTTTTCTGTCTTTTCAGGTCTTTCCCAGTTAAGATCTTTATTCTACTTGAGAGGATTTTCCAATAATGTTTTGATTTTTAACTGGTCAGTTTAAGCCTCCTAATGGTTATATGCTGTAAGAAAAAAAACATTTCTCATTTTTGTTGAGCTACCAGCAGGTATGGTTGCTAGATTTGTACCGTATAAATACAGTAAAATGTGATAAAATTCTGCACAAATTTGGTAAAATTTGGTGTAAATTCATTAAAATTTGAGAAAATTCTGTATAAATATGGTAAAGTTTCAGCAACCACAACTGCTGGTATATTACCATAAATTACAGACTTTTTTTAATAATGTGAAAGCTTTGATTATTTTAATGTCTTGTTTAGTATTTGTTTTTTATTTCTGTTAATCTTTTCAAAAGCATTTGGTCATTTTCATAATCTGTAAATAATTTCTTCTTTTAGGTATTTAAACTGTTAGTTTATTGACATGTATTGCCTATTTTGTGTAATTTTTCTTATTTTTAAAGAGATTATGAAACTGTCAAATAGTCGAAACCAAACTCCTGGATGGATCGGATAATTAGGGGAAACCTGACTAAATAAGTTCAGTGATGTAACGTTAGAAGCATTTCAACAATGTTAAGAAAGTTCCAGACCAATTTTGCAGGAATGTTTCTGAATGAACTCACCTGTTCCTGTAAAATCAGATTTTACCTTATTTACTTAGCGGGTTTCAACTTGTCCATGTGCGTCAGTAATGGATCAACTCGTCACAGCGGGGAAAAAAGTGCAATTACCAGATGATGATGTATGTCTGAAAGAAAAAATAAAGAAAGAGCTGCAGAGACAAAACTTCATGACCCAGATCTCGCATGGAAAACAAATCTCTTGGATGCCTTAATTCAGTTTTCATTTCGCTAATCATCTTACTGTCAAACAGTTTTATACAAGAAATTAGAGGAAAACTAAATGTTTACAGATTGCAATAGAACCCAATAAATTCAAACAGAGCAGATTAGAATGGAAGCAAAATAACACATGAAGATTATAAAGAAAGATTACAATGACACCATGGAACAAAAAGGATAAATACATTAAAAAGTCAGAAGAAGATGCTATTTTAAGCCAAGGATTATTAAATTCAATAGAAATATTTAGTACTGAAACAAGTATTTACAAAAACTGTAAAATAAGAAACGTATATAGATTGGAAAACTAGAAATATGACAGGATAACAATAGCTATCACACTACAAACCTAATTATCACATTATCAGAAGATGGGAAAAAGACTTAAATATTTTATTTTAATTTTTTGCCTCTTTCTTAGTTTTAATGTTTTATTTAAGATAAATCCCATCATTTGTATTCGGTCTCTGTTTAGTTGAGTGTACCGCTGACCGCTAGGTGGCGGTGCGAGAAAAGAACAGGCAGACTGTCTCGGCATTGGGAGTGACGTACTTCCTGCCGGCGGCAAAGCGTGGTGCTAGTTGTTTGAACCCAAACGTTCCTGTCACGAAAATATCGCATTTTCTACTTTTAGCGTTTGATTAACTACTGAAGCGAAATAAATATGGTGAGTAAACTTTTAAACGTTGTGGAAATGACGTAACGTTCTTCCTGTTTGTATGTTTCCTTTTGTTTAGCGTTAGCATCGTTAGCTTCTCATTCATCACTCCGGCCACAGTTAAAGCTGTCACAATTCGTCAAACAGACTGTTTGAATAGTCGTGTTTTCTTCCGTTTTCTGTAATTATTACATGCAGTCATTTTATTGTAAAGCAGAACTTCTGTAATAGTAGTTTTCCGGAGGTGTGTTTGTTTATTCAATTGGAAAACACGGAGCTACTGCAGCTAAACTATGAGGATGTCAAGCCTTTACTGCTGCGATTTTCTATTAGGAAATTTAAAAAAAGCAAATTAAACAAGTAGAATAAAATCTTTTTTAAGTTGTTACTCATGACATTTGGTTTACAAAATATACCACCATGCCTTTGTTTTGCCTCTTAACTGTTAGCTTGTGGTAAATAAGGTTTTCTTTCCTTTTCCTTTATTTCCTGCAGAGTTTACCTCTGAATCCGAAGCCTTTCCTCAACGGCCTGACAGGAAAACCTGTGATGGTGAAGCTGAAGTGGGGGATGGAGTATAAAGGCTACCTGGTGTCTGTGGATGGATACATGAACATGCAGGTGGGAAAAACTTAGAGTTCTTCCTGACTCTAATTATTATTACCAATGTAAGAATAAACCTCATAATTCAAAACAGCAGTTTCAGGTGTCTCAGTCAATGCCTTCTTGGGATTGTGATGTTTGATCCAAGCAGGATTTACAGAACGTAAATAAACTTATGAACTTTATCAGACGTGTTATAGCTTAAAATAAGACCTGCTTAACACTGCAGCTCATTGAATCAACTTTGGTTTTGAATAACAGAAAATTTTCAACATTGTTTTTTTAACTCTTGCGATGAAAGAACTAAAATGTATATTAAATGTTTCAACATCCTTTAAAATTTCAAGTCGTAAAATGTTATCTTATTTTAGTTACACCTGCCTAAATATGTTCTTAGTACTTGTTGGTTCTTCAAACCTGAAAAAAATGCAAACTAAATATAGAAATGAGAGTAAATATATTTTTGAAAGTATTATCTCTGAACATGAAATATTTGTTGTCATATCAATGCAACATGCAATGAGATGAATCATTGATCTGCTTTAATTTGTTAAAATGCTATATGCAACAAAATTGACTTAAAGATTGACCTAATTTTTGTTCTTACTGCTCAGAATTTTATTAAACTTTTTTTTTAATATCAAGCCCAAATTTATTTTTAAATCTGACCACTATATATTTTCAAAGTAAAATGTTAGATTGATAAGAAAAAATCACAATTAAGTTTTTTTTTATGTGTTTGGACGATGATTACTTTCCCCTTGGGGTCTTGGGTCCTCATTCAATTTAAAGCTGCGTAAAGAATAGAAATAAAGAAAATAAATTACGAACAAATAATGAAACATTTAAACCAAATGAAATAAATTTATACCTGCTCAGATTGTGCTGAATAATTCTTCACTTTATTTTACCCACAATCCAGCAGGCGGCGCTGCAAAATCATTCTCTTTTTCCACATTTGAATAAATTTAGCATTTTTTCAACAAAAAGTAAATAACTGCTTACCGAACCTTTAATTCTTAGTTATGAACTTAACTGGATGACGTTCATGTAGTTAAAACCTTTCAGTGCAGAATGTCTCTAACATGAATAAAACAAATTAGAAAACAATTAGAATTCTGCAGCTATAATAGAAATAAAATAAATGAGAAAATTATTGGCTGAGCTGTTTTTGTCTGATCTTAATATCCAAGTGAACTTTCATTGTATATCAAGTAACTTCTTGGTTAATTTTTGCCAAGCAGAGTGTTTGTTTTAGTCTGTGATGCTTTTAAAATGGCCGACATAGAACAAAATGATTGATAACAAAAAGAAAACCTCCTGTTCACTGAAACCTTTTGATCTTTTTCATGTATGTTTTCCACCAGTTGGCGAACACAGAGGAGTACGTTGATGGAGCGTTGGCGGGCCATCTTGGTGAAGTGCTGATCAGGTGTGGAAACAGTTTTTTATTGGGGTTTATTCACATCAAAGTGTGAGCATTAAATTCAAGACTGTTTTTAGAAGCAGAAAACAGGGATCCTAGCCAACTTCTGTTCATAATTAAATGTGCTGGAAAAAGTGTTTAATTATTATTTTTTCCTTCTACAGATGCAACAATGTTTTGTACATCCGAGGTGTGGAAGAGGAGGAAGAAGATGGAGAAATGAGAGAGTAATGACGATGATGTTTTTGTAGTTGTACCTGGTGGTGGAGTTAATGTGTGTTTGTGTTTTCACCATGTGAAACAAATTTTGATTTTCTTTTTTACTACGATGCCTGTTTGCGTGTTGCGATGCAGAAACAATAAAACAATTATTGTAACATTTCTTAAAGCGGATTTGGCTCCTTTTTGTTTTTCTCTGAATCTTAATGTGTTTGAGCTCCGCCCACCCATCTCTCTGTGCACTTTAACCTCTTCTCTCTTTGGCAAATATTTGCCTTGTTTCTACCCTAAAGTAGTCTGAGCGTTGCTTTTGAAGAGGGAAGATGTCCAGAAATCACAGGCTGCTGGTGAAAAATGCCAAGCAGGTTGTTTTAATCTGCAACAACGGGGAGAAATTCCTGACCAGGCCTGGGATGAACAACCTGAGTGTGATCGAAAACGCCAGCGTTGTCGTTGGCAGGTGAGGTTTAAAAGAACAATTTAAAAACTATGTTTAATTTTAAAAAAGTGATTATGAAAGCTGCTGTTTGAGGAAGAAAGTGGTTGATTTCTCCAACAAATTGTAATGTTGCTCTTTTTGTTTGTCCAGTGGTGCCCTCTGCTGGATAATGTTGATAATTACACCAAAAGTCACTGAAATTTTTATTTCTTTTAAGCTAAGTTTGTCCTTAACTTCAACCAGCAGCCAACTTTTGTACATCTCCTAATGACAGTTTTTAAGTTTGGGTTTCAGTTTTGTGCAAAAGTTTTAAACCAACCCTAATCTCTTCATATTATCAATAGATCTCCAAACTGTGAAGGCGTTTTCAGTTTGATTCAGGACCTCATTTAGTGTTAGAAAAGCGTAAATAAATGAGGGAGGATCTAAGACTTTTAAATCTTACACCTCAGTCTTTAAAAGTTTAATTTCTGTGAAATGTTTCTCTTTGCAGTGATGGTCTGATTAAAGCTGTGGGTCCTGCAGAAACCATCAGCGCTCGGTACTCTGAGTCCTCCTTCGATAACGTGATTGATGCAGCAGGGATGTGTGTTCTTCCTGGTGAGTATTGGCTACATCCAACTAATTCATGCAACTTTCAGACCTTAAACATGGAAAATGTTCAAACTCTGCTCCAGTTAAAAGTGCTTTATTAAGTTTATGCATCTATTAGGGTTAACGAAGACACTAAAAAACTTATATTTATTAAATCTATTTATAGAGGCCATAATTTAAACATCATTAGATATGATGCCTCCAAGTCAAGTAAAAAAGGATCAGTTTAAATTAGAAAGCTAAAAAGTAAAAATTTAATTGGAAACTTTTAAGGATTGTATTTAAAATACATAGCAGTTAGAGAGGACAATAACAGTTAGCCACAAACTCATTATTATTTTTTATTTCTCGGTTCTTAAAACTGTTTTTGTGAAATTTAGCTAAAAAATCAGTTTACTTTGTAAAACATACACCTAGAAAACAAAAATGAAAGAAATATATTTGTAAACTCAAACTAATTGCATTTATTACAATAAATAAATAACTAGTTGTTTTTCCTTGTTTTGTTTCAGGGCTTGTTGATGCTCACACTCATCCAGTCTGGGCTGGAGACAGAGTTCATGAATTTGTAATGAAGGTAAAACATACTGACTGAGTCTGTTCACTCTCACAGCTTCCTTCAGAACTTATTATTTCCCAGATCTGAATAAACATAGATAAAGAAATACAGTGAAATATTTATTATTTTAGTCCCTCTGTTCACTAATCCTTTTGTTTAGCCTGCCAGCTTTATGCAGGTTGTCCTCAAAAAGTCTTAAATTCATAAAAATAAGGCTTTAAAATAATTAACTAAAAAAAACATTTTGGTTAATTATTATTCCCGAATTGTGTCTTTAATCTTTTGGACAGAAAACTTTGTTTTCTCTGTTAGTTGAGGCTACAGCTAACTAGCTGCTAACGTAGCCTTGCTAGTTGGCTTTTTTTTCTTTAGCCTCTATCATAGCACCTCAATGAAGTTTCAAATCAAACGTCTGTGCTGTTTGTACAGCAAATTTTTTTCTATATCCTGATTTTATGTTAAAGATATTAAATAAATGTTTCCAGAGATTTTGAAAGGTACAAATTTAACCGTTTGTCAAGCAACAAATGTAGCACGGCTCATTGTCACCGTGTTTTGTCTGATTTTGTAAATGTGGACCTTTGATGAGGAAACATTTATTATCTTTAAAATAATGGCGACATAAACGATTTTTTTTCTGTAGAACAAACGTTTGACGCCAATATTTAATTTGAAGGGGAGGTAATGCCAGTTAGAAATTTTTCTGTTATAATTCCAAAGGCTAATCCTAACTAGCTGCTAATATATCATTGCTAGCTAGTTGGCTTTCTTTTGCGTCCGTCATGGGTAAATGTAAATTTATCGCCAGTTGGCCTCTTCTGTTGCCAACCCATGTGATGTTACATACATTAAATAAAAATAATAAAAAGCTTAAAATTCAAAATTGAGCTGGTAGAAATCGCTTAAGACGGCGAACCCATCCGCCCTGCAGCTAGCCGGAGCCAGCTACATGGAGGTGCACCGCGCCGGAGGAGGGATCCACTACACGGTGGAGCACACTCGGGCCGCCGCCGCCTCCGACCTGCTGTCCTCCCTGAGGAACCGGCTGCAGCGGATGCAGCGAGCCGGAACCACTCTGGTGGAGTGCAAGAGCGGATACGGCCTGGAACTCCAGACGGAGCTGAAGATGCTGGAGGTGATCGAGGAAGCGAGCAGGTCGCTTCCCATCAGCATCTCCTCCACCTACTGTGGAGCCCACGCTGTGCCCAAGTGAGAAACACGGTGAAATATTCACTCCACTGCTTACGGGTTTAATATTCTTCTATGCGTTACAATGTGGAGAGAATATCATATTCTGTGACCATCTATATTTCCATAATAGACATTATATTTCCATAATAGACATAATTTTAATGTTTTTTATTTTTTGTTGTGTTTATTCTTTGTTGTTAGCATCGTGTTAAAATGCTGCAGCGCCTCCTGTGGTCAGAATGTATGGTGCTTACACAATACGGTGCAACTGCGGTGTCTCATACCGGAAGTTTGTTTTCACACCAGTGTTCATGAAGCAGTTTGATAGGTTTTGATTATTAATAAATTTAGGTTGGAATAAATTAATCAATAATTTCCATTTCCATGATTTTTTTTCTGTCTTTGTTCTAAAAAATGAATGACAAAAGTTTTCATTCTGCTGTCAATTAGACAGTTTTGTTAACAAAGACTTCGTAATTCATTTTTTTTGGTTGTTGTTTATTTATTTTAGATATTTCAAATGTCTTCAAAGGTTAAAGTTAATTGATATTTCCTAATGGAGTTGAAAATGGTCTCAAAACAACAATATTATCGTATATTGCAATAACGTCTGGGACCGAGTGATAAATTGTCTCAGTAATTATTATTTAGAAACAATTTCCAAGTAACGTATTGACAGCGGCATAATAATGCACATTTGCCCTCAACAAACAAACACTGAACATTCAAACTGGAAGACATTTTAAATATCCAAAATAAAGCAACAAATGAAATAAAACTATTTAGAACTGCAACCATGAATAAAATGTTTATTTAAAACCAATGTGTTAAATAAAACAAATTTTACCATAATAATCATTAGAAGGTAAATTATTAAGGCCATCTTCATTTCTTATTGTGACAAGTTTAGCTTTTTTCATATGATAATCATTTAAAAGTTAAACATTCTGCAACATATTTAATATCTGTCAGTTTGAGGGAAGAATAATAAAACAGATTAAACAATTTTATGACTCCACTTGCTAAAAAAATTATATAGAAAGCTACAATGTACATTTATTTTAACTGTGCAGTTAATTAATATGAAACAAATATGACAGAAAAAGCCTGGAGTTATGCTGAGATGATGGGCTGAACGTTTCTGTCCCTCAGAGGGAAGACGGTGGCAGAAGCCACAGAGGACGTCCTGCAGGTCCAGCTGCCTGCGCTGAAGGATCTGATGTCGGCCGGGAGGCTGAAGGTCCAAAACATCGACGTTTTCTGTGAACAGGGAGTTTTTGATCTGGACTCGACGCGCGCCGTCCTGCTGGCTGGGAAAGAAATGGGGCTCAACATCAATTTCCATGGAGACGAGCTGCATCCCATGAACGCTGCAAAGGTTTCGATCAAAGTCACTGTGTTTACAGATTATTACAGTTAATCAACTTAATTGGATAAAAAAAAGACAAATTCTGCATATATATGTATATAAAGTTTATTGTTTAATGGATTATTCACCATGTTGAAACAAGCTGCTGTGTCTCAGATGGGAGCGGACCTCGGAGCGTTGGCCATCAGCCATCTTGAGGAGGTCACCGACGAAGGGATCGTCGCCATGGCGCAATCGAAAACCGCCGCCGTCCTCCTGCCGACCACGGCTTACATCCTACGGTAGAGACGACGACCCGACTCTCTCTGCTCCTGATTGGTTGTTCATGGATGTTTGTTGTTCAGGCTGCCGCAGCCTCGGGCCAGAGACATGCTGGAGGCCGGCGTGATCGTCGCCCTCGGCAGCGACTTCAACCCCAACGCTTACTGCTGCTCCATGGTCAGGCGTCACGCGCTTCTTGTCCGTCTCGACCCGTTCTCCTCATGTCAGTGTTTTGTTTCCAGCCGGTCGTGATGCATCTGGCCTGCGTCAACATGAGGATGTCCATGACTGAGGCTCTGGCTGCCGCCACCATCAACGCCGCGTACGCGCTCGGCCGCTCCCACACGCACGGATCCCTGGAGGTGAACAAACACGGAGACCTGCTGGTCCTGAACGCAACACGGTAAATAAACTCTCAGAAGTTTGTCCAGGATGTCCATGCGTCTGAAATTGTGGAGCTGATTTTAGGATTTTCATCCTGGACTTATTTAAAGTTTACAAATTTAGACCTTTGTCTTTATTTTTAATACTTTCTGCTGAGTGAAGGTGGGAGCACCTGATTTACCAGCTGGGCGGCCATCAGGAGCTCATCCGCTATGTCGTCATCAGAGGAAATATTGTGTACGATAATGACAAAACCCTTGACCTCTGACCCCGAAGGAACTCCCAGCAGAGGTACGTCTAAAAATAAAACCACATTTCCTTCCAGCTTTCAGAAAAAACTGCTGGTTTTATCACCACCACAAACTTAAGTGCATATCTGTGCACTTAAGACATCTGAGACACATAATTAGTGGTGAGTTCAAGACTCAATCAGCAAAAATGACCAAACAAAATGGCTGAATTTATTTTAAAAAATGCAAGATTAACACTTGGAATTTGTAGCCTAAGAAAATCCTGGCTTACTTTGGGCATTTTAGGTTATATTTGTACTTTTTTTTTAGCTACTTTTGAACAAATATTTAAGTTTTATTCAGATAAAAATACATTCTTGACCAAAAATCAACCTGTGATTTGGTCTAACATTCTAAAAATTGTAATAAAAAAAGATCCTCTTGTTGCTTTATGTAAGCATATTTGTACATTTGGTTACAAAATAAAAGTTTGTTTTTCTTGCATTTTTCAAAAATCCTACTGTTGTTTTGATTGGATGAAAAAGCCTGTCTCTGATTGGCTGATGTTGCTCATTTGCATATCCTCATGCATAGTTTGGTCAAATTATAGACTCATCTGCCAAAACTCTTTCAGCTTTTAAACATTTAAATATCAGAAACCAAAAGAAAAACCGCGGATTGGTGATCAATATCAGCCTTTATTGAACATTTTAGTTGAGAATCATTTTCCACAGGCAGAGATTTAAACCTGATCTACTGCTGATATATTTTCAGTCAAGGCTTATAAAAAGAAAATGATTAAAAAAACAATTTTAAATGTAAAGACAGAATATTTGAGTGCATAGAGTGAGTAAAAATAGTAACAGTGGCAAACATGTTAACTGGCTTTCTAAACTAGGTTTGAGTACCAGAACTGGTCTGGAACCAGTTTGGATCCGGTTAAGCTTCGTATTTCTTTCCGGCTCGGTGGATCTGTTGGTAAAGCGTCATGGAGAACGCCATGCCCAGCAGCTGGACGAGAGCGTCGATGTTCAATCATTCATGCAACAGAAATAGAAAAGTTTAGCTTTTATGCCATGTTTGTTGGTCTTTATTTAGTTAAAGTTCTGGTTAGATTTGGTTCTAATATAAAACAAACTTCATGTTAAATTTAAATGTTGTCACCTGTATGACCAGCACACACATGGCGATGGTTCCCAGCAGGTGTTTGTTGTCATCCACCCACTGCTCCACCTTATCATAGCAACCCTGCACACAGAAAAGCTTCCAGTTAATCATTAAAATGTCATTTTGTTCTGTTTTCGTCCAGGTGAATTGGGTCTGGATCTACATCCATGTTGTGCTGCTGGAACATGATTTAAACGTCCCAGTTCTGAAAAGTTCCATATTTCCAGACTATGAATCACTTTTTTCATCAAAATGTTCCTGATAAAGCATCGTCAATAAAAACATCCATGCTTCTTGTATTTGTTAGTTTACTTCTCTTACAGTGTGATTTATTTTTCTTTCAAATGTTCCAGATCAGGAAAAAGAATAAAGATGGTAGTAAATGAATCTCACATGTGTCCAGAAGGCGTTTGATGCGTTGCGGCCGCAGCTCAGGTGAAGCTGCTGGCAGCAGCTGTCTGGAACGACGTTCTCCTGCATGATGCTGGACCAATCGTCTGGCTTCGTCACGCCGCAGCACTTCCACTGCGGAGGAGGAAACCAGTTCAGGATATGGAAACCAAACCTCACCACTGCTGTGCTCTACCTCTCTCTGGATGGTGTTCCACGCGTCCCGCAGGCCGGCATTGTGCTCTGTGTTGTACAGCACCAGCCCCTCTTTTAGGTCCCTTCTGGCGTTTTCCCTCACCTGGGGAGGCACAGGGAGAGGGGGATTATGGGTAATGAACACTAACGAAGCACAAAGGATAGGAGTCAAGTTTTACCTTTTCTGTGTAGACAAAGAAAAGGATGAGGAGGATCAGTTCAGCCAACAGGATGATCAAGAGAACGATGAAGAACTGTTTGAAAAGAGGGAAACGTTTTTCACAATATTGTTTTTACTTCCTGAAGTTTAACAGACAAAATTTACACTGGAAATAAAAAGTGAAAGAATTCAGGTAAGTAGCATGACAAAAAAAAACTACAAGAATAGTATGTCATTTAGTATTTGTCATTTTACTGACATTACACCAAAGAATGTGGAAAAATGAAGCATTTTTGCAAGAAAAACTTTGAAAAATGACACAATAGACAACCAACGAAAAAAACGTGAAAAAAATAACAGGCTATGGCACAAAATTTTTTTTTTGCATTTTTTGAGTCTTGGTTATACTATGACCAAAAAACCTGGAAAAACGAGACACTTCTCCAAGTGCAAAAACGTTTTTTGCATGAAAAACAAAAAAATTGACAAAATTGCACTCAAAAAAGTGGAAAAATGACAAATTTTTCCGTTTGTCAAAAACATGCAGCTTTGACATGAAACTAAAATAAATACGTGATGCATTTTGAGACGTCACTTCGGAAGGTTAACAACAAAAAGAGGAATGAAGCAATTTACAGCATGGCTTCTGCTCCTGAAACCAGGAACATTTCAACATTTGATCGGTGACATTGTGGAAGTGAGCAACAAGTGAAGGACAAACGCTACAACATGTCATTTTTCAGCAAAAAAAAAAAAAAAAAAAAACCGACCAAAATGACGTCGTATAGAATAACAATCATGAAAACAGTTGCATGCAGGGCGACTCACACTCAGCAGCAGACACTTGTTCTCCTTGATGGCACCCAGGCAGCCCAGGAAACCCGTCACCATGACAACGGCGCCCAGCGTGATGATGAGGTTGGCGGCTGAGAGTGCAGGGAAGGAAGGAGACAAGGTGGCGAAGCTGCCCTGGGAAACCGAGAGCCAAACTCCGACTCCCAACAAGCCGCATCCGCCCAGCTGGAACGCACACAGAAAAAATAATCCTGATCATAAAATAATTTGATTGTATCATTAATAATCTAAGAACTTACCCAGAAGAAGAGGTTGAAGAGGAAGAGCATGTATTTCACACAACAAATGCAACCTCGAGCCATGACTGAAGACAAAGGATCTGCTCAAATTAAATACAGACAACAAAATAAATAAATGCAACAATTTATCACTCAAGTCTAACTTTAACTCTTCCAAGTTCCAGAATTGTTGGAATAACTTCTCATGTTTGATGATTCACGTTTTTTTTTTTAAACTGAAGACAACACAATGAGTTCACAAAGCGCTTTGATTCCCTTTGCTTTGGCTCCGAAACCACAGCAAAGGAAAGAAGCTATAAACTCACCACTGGAAGAAGGAAACGACTCTGCAGCTCAAAGGTTTCTGTGAAACACAAATATACAATTATAGTCTGCAAATTATATGATGGATGGAAAATAAGAGTAAAAACAATTGGATACAAGTGATTTTTTATTTTCTCCTGATCAAAAATATATTTTGCAAAATACGCACTATTTTTGTCAAAATCATAAATAAATATACAGCAAAATTAAACTAAAAAGCACAACAAAATTTATTTTTAACAGGTAAGTATGCCATATTTCAATTAAATTGTTTTTTTTTAAATAAGAATGAGATTAGTCGATCCTTCTACAAACAAAACAAAACTTTTTTTTTTCTTCTGTACTGAGATATTTAGTTTGTCCTTTATTACAACAATTGGTATTTATTACAACAAATACCAAAAATTATTGTGACATATTAAGATCATATAATCATATAATAATATTTATGTTTCATAGTTAATTTGTTCTTTGTCCTTTTATAAATCCTTTTATAAATCATTACTAATTGTTATTGTAAATAAAAAAACTGGATTGAATTTAACCTTGAAAACAAGTATCAAAAAAGAGAATGAAAAAAAACTAAGAAAATCCAATTTAAAGTTTTTTTTCCTAACTTTTGTTTTTCTATCAAATAAAAAGATCTTATCAAAAAACTTTCGAAACTCGTGAAACCTAACAAATTGTATCTAAAAAAAACCCCGGGTTTTTATAAAATAAAATGTATTTTAAACAGAGGGATAAAATACCAAAACAATATCTAATAGTTTTAAGATTTTAATTAGGCCAAATATCATCTATCCATTTCTTTATTAATCTTAAAATACATCAGCTGTTTTTTACCAGTCGACGTATTTTAGGGATTCTGTGCAGTGACGTAGGCGATACGTCACGGCATTCCCAGATTTCGCCGTTCTCAAAAGTTTAGGCAGTAAAAACTAAAGGAAAACGTACAAAGGCAGTTTTAAAATACTTCTCCTTGTTTTTATTCAGATATAGATACATGTGATGCTTTATTATAAGCACATTAACCGCTTTTCTTCGTCTCGTGCCGTGTTTGCTTTCATGCTCATGCAGCCAAAAAAAAGTGACGAAGAAGAAAAACGGATAAAATCTCACCGTTAGCTACGAACTGGCGTCCATCTTCTCGCAAAAAGTCTGGCGTCTTTTCCCGCAGAAGCCTTCACATTCTGCTTCCGCCAACAACCGGAGTCGGTTTAAAAACACAAATTCAGTGGCTTGGAACTGCAGCTTTGGGAATCCGTCGACCGCTGGAAGTGAAGAGGACGTTTCCCCGGCGGAGGGAGGGCGGAGCCGGACAGGAGCCCAGGATCGGGTCCGCTCCTCATCGACCAGCCGGCGCACCACCCGGCTACCACCGCGTTATTCCAACGGGCGGAGCTTCTCTCTTAAATCAGGGACACGCTGAAAGAGGGGTTTAAATCAACAATACTACAACCAATTTAGAACATACCCAACTGAGAAAAGTAATTAACAACTTCCCTTCTTGTGCTACTTCTTCACTTAATCAATAGGTGCTTCTCTTCAGTTTAAGAGTGAAATTATCACACCACAATATTTGTATGCTAATATGTCTAACATTAATCAACGGGTAAAAATATTCATTTCAAAATTTCCAGACTTTATTAGGGGAAAAATGCTTAGAACATCAGACAAATAAGTTATAGCTTACTATTCTTCTGATACTTTTTCTTCAAAAAATGAAAGGTTATTTCAAAAATCTTAGTTTTTTGTTGTTTTTTTTTTACTAACCAGAACTTAGATATTACATTCAGCAAATTGTGTTTTACTTCCTGGACATTACAGGCCACTAAAGATTAATCTTTTAAATTTTTAAGTTAGTCCTCTATGTAATGCTTACAAGTGCAAATATCGACTCTATAAGTGTTTGAGACGTGAGGATCTTCGCTGAAATTAGCTTCTAACAAAAGGCTTTTTCCAAAACTTATACCTTAAAAATGTTTTTTTTTCAGGAACTAGATTAAAATTTATTAGAGCTCGAACTGTTTTTTTTTTTTTTTTTTTTTACAAACATCGATGATTCATTTATCTTTTCCAGGGACAAAAAGTGTCCAAATTTAGAAGAAAGAATTTGAAAAGCAGATTCTTTGGTTATTCATCTACAATCACTTTGTCTTATTTTAAACACTGCAAGCGAGAAAACAGGTTTTTAAAGTCCCAGTACAGTCAAATCCAACATCATTAATAAACACAGGATTGAGTAACATATCACAAAAAGCAGGTTTTTGCTCTGGTTAAAGGGGCAGCTGAATTCATAAATATTTTCTAAACACATTTCAAAAACTAATCTGAGATGTTACTGAAAAAAAAAAACAAAATGCATTGAAATCAAGTTTTATAAACAGTTTTTGTACAAAGTTCACCTCCATTCACTGGAAGGACATCAACTTGAGACCTTCTAATAAAGTCAAACAGGACTTTAATAAACGTTCTTTATCATAACAATATAAATACATAACCCTGAACAGAAAATAAATAAAATACAAAACATACAAAAAACATTAAAACGACGTTTGTTTTTTGGTGCAGTTTTTGAATCCATGGAGTTAAACTGGGGGGAAACTGAGGATGTATTTTCCAGGCTGTCTGCAGGTCAATAGAAAAAAAGACACACAGGACTCTGGACAGCGAACGCATCACCGTCCATCAGGAAACTTATCCCAGGACCCATCGATCGGCGTGGGAGGAGTTCAGCTGCACCGACTCGCTGCTCTCTCCGCCCTCATGCTGACAAACACAAAACAAATCGGATCAATAAACAGGAAAAAAAAACAAAAAACGACCAACTGGTGACATTTTTTAAAACATTCACAGCAACAACACAAATAATTTTTGTGTAGTTTCTAGTGCAAATACATTATCACACTTGAAATAAGTCAAAACTAGTTTACAAGTAATATTTCAGTAAGATGTAGGTCTATGTTAGTATTAATGAAAAGTCATAGCTATAAGTAAAATAATCTCAGTTAGAGAAGATCAGGAATATATCTTGTTCCACTAACAGATTAATTCACTAATAACTACAACCTTTCCATCAATATTAAGGAATTATTGACTTAAAACAAGCTTCTATATCTTAGAGACGCATAAAGCACAGCATGGCATGGCATAGCAT